TTGATTTTTTTTTTTATCTTGTAAGAATTTTTATACTTTGAATTGTTTAGGAAATTGGTTTAAAAAAAAAAGATCTTTGTAATTTCGTATATTAAAAATATTTTTCTTTTTTGATTATTTTCTTTACAAGTATGTAGTCAATTATATTATTTGCTTTTGGCTTTTTTCATTCTTTTTCCATTCTCTCTCTCTCCTCTCTCTCTCTCCTCTCTCTCTCTCTCTCTCTCTCTCTCTCTCTCTCTCTTTCTCTCTCTCTCTTTCTCTCTCTTTCTCTCTCTCTCTCTCTCTCTCTCTCTCTGTGTGTGTGTGTGTGTGTGTGTGTGTGTGTGTGTGTGTGTTTGGTTGACATGTATGGGAACATGTGGGAAGGGGATGCACATAAAAATGTGTGCTCGTGCATGTAGATGCCCGAGGTTGATGTCTGAAACCATCTTCCATAGCTCTTCCTCCTTACTTGTTGAGACAGAGGCTCTTGATGAAACCAGAGCTCATCTATATTTCTATTCTGGCTGCCCAGCTTGTGCTGGGCACCCTCTCTCTTCCTCCGCTCCAAGGCTGGAATTTCAGGTGGACAACACTACTCCAGCCAGCATTTCTACAGGATCTGGGAAGATGAACTTGGGTGCAAATGCTCAGATGGCAAGTGGTTTAGCCATTGAGCTCTCTCCTCAGCCAACTTGCTGATTTAAAATAATATATTACACATTTTCTATAAGGAAAATGTAAGCTTTATGCATTTGAGCATACTACTTTTTCATGTACAAAATCTAGGGTTTGTCTCTTGATTAAAAGACTCAAGAATTAAGACAAAAAGACTCAGCTTATTAACAACTAAATAAATAAGTAAAGTTAAACTTATAAGTCTAAAACCAATTCCTTAAATAGACTAATGACTAACTAGATAATACCATTGGAAACAGAGTCCTGAACCAAGGAAGTAAGATGCCCCAGATTAAGAAAGAGAAATATGTGATAATCACTGACTAATAAAAGATTTCTGTGGTGATATTGTGTTCCCCAAAATATTGTGCACCATAATAAACTTATCTGGGGTCAGAGAACAGAACAACCACTAGATACAGAAGCCAGAAAATGGTGGCACTCACACCTTTAATCCTAGCATTCCAGAGGCAGAGATCCAGGGATCTCTGTGAGTTCAAGGCCACACTGGAAACAGCCAGCTGTGGTAACAAGAGCCTTTAATCCCAGGAAGTGATGGCAGGAAGCAGAAAGGTATTTAAGGTTTGAGGAGGAGGAACTAGAGCCTGGTTAAGCTTTTAGGCTTAACCAGCTGAGACTCATTTGGATGAGGACTCAGAGACTTCCAGTTTGAGGAAACAGGATCAGCTGAGGAAATGGCAAAGTGAGGTCCTGTGGCTTGTTCTGCTTCTCTGATCTTCCAGCATTCACCCCAATACCTGGCCTTGGGTTTGTTCTTATTAATAAGACCATTTAAGATTCGTGCTACAGATTTCTTTTAAGCCTTTAGATAAAAAGGGACAAATAAAATGTCAAAAACAGATAATAGGGCTGGATCAACTGGCTTGTTCTCTGAATGGGCCTATACCATTATCACAAGGTGAGTCGGACGACTTTCCATTGAGGAAATAAGTGTGACAGACAAATCTATTCAGCATCTATGATAAAATACTAGATTGACCAAAGCAGCTATGATGAAAAAGCATTTGATCACAACCTGTGAGAAATGGCGTAAGGTATTTTCAAGGTCACTCTGTTAAGTCATACTGCTGCATAGGACACCCATCTTACTTTTCAGAGATAAATTCTTACTGACTTAGAGGTAAAAGTTCAAAAAATACTTTAAACACCTTAAGGGTATATATTATAATATTTTTGCATTTTCATACTTAAAGCCTGTTTGATCTCTTCATAATAAAACAAAAGAATACATGATATATATTTTTTTAAATGCACAATTTATGCTACTTGATATTCTAAGGCAAGTGTTTCTGGATTCTAGAAAGGTAAGTGCTATTCTTAGTAAAATATAAATGATTACGAAATAGTAGATGTGGAAATCTTGAACATAGACCAACTGCCACAGAAGAGATTTAAAACTGATACCATTTCTCCCATTAAAAAAGGGTACCAAAACCAGATGGCTCTGCAGCTGGATTCCATCCAACCTGCACAGAACAAATAACCCCGATGTTATTAAAATTGTTGTAGCCATGGAAAGAGACAGAAAGCTCTCCCACCAATTTAGCAATGTCCTTGGCAACATGAAAGAATACCAATTCCAAAGGAAAAAGGGTAGGACAATCTCACTCATGTGTACAGAGTAAAATCTCTCAAGAAAATATTTAAAAATGGATTCATTCTTATGTTTCTCTCTTAAAAATAAAATACGTGATTATATTACAATTCTGTTGTGTATCAAGGTATATGTCTTTAAGAATGATGAATATTGGGAATAAGTAACTCATCAGGGAAGAAAACCAAAATGCCTAAGAAAGTGGACATGCAGAGTTTCCTCATGCGTGCAAGAATGGAAACATCCCACTCTGATTTCTCATCATCATCTTCTTCTTCCTCCTTATATTGAGCCAAAATCTGTGTCTGCATAACTTTTACTGCTGAAGAGGTGAAGATCCCAGAACATTAATTCCCCAAAGCCAGACTGTGAATTAAAAACAAGGTAGAACAATGAACTCCAAGATACGTTTCTAGTAAAGAAACGAACAAACAAAACGCTTTTTTGTCACTTAGGTCTCTCTCTGAGCTTTGCTTTCTGCACTAATAGTGACAGAACAGTGCAAAGCATGGGTGTGTGGACGGACACCGTGATCTGGCAGATCTGCACTGTCAAACCATGCTACTTTAGTATAATTTTCTTCCAAGGAGTGATCTGTTTTCTAAATACAGTGAGGAATACATACCAGGCTTAATATATCTGCCCATAAGCAACCTTGAGGTGCTTGGGATTATCAGTTGGCTCCAGCTCTGGCAAGAACTAATGAACCAAAATTGATATCATATCTTTTAAACTGTATTTTCTTATGGTTGGTCTTTCTTTCGATTGCCATTTCCCAAATAATGACAGACTCCTTGGTCTTAGCTTAGGCTTGTTCCCAACTAGCTCTTATAACTTAAATTAAACCGTTTATATTAAATCTATGTTCTGCCATGTGGCTGGTTACTTCTTCTTCATACTGTTTGACTCCTGCTGCATCTGGCTGGCTCAATCCTGAGCACCACTTTTTTCCATTTGGCTTACAATTCCGATTGATGATTTTGTTACTGCTGAGTTAGCTGTAAACTTTTAATAACCAAATGAACATGAATTATGTTAATTTATCTACCATACTTTTAGACAGTGATCAAGGTAAATGACCTGCTTCTTTGAAACCCTGACACACATACACACGCAGTGTAAAATAGAAAATATGAACTTTTCCCTTGATAGAGAGTTTGAAAGAAAGTCTTTATATAATATCAAAAAATCATGTAAAGTGACATTTGTATAGCTATCATATATAATGCTCTACTTGAAGAGCCAGTCATACTACTAAATTTCCTCTCAGCTTTCTTTTATGCACAGGGGAAGAGCTTTTCAGTTTGATTTAGGCTGTTCTGATGAAGACCATGACCATAAGCCATCTGAGGATGAAAGGGTGCTTTTCATCTTACAGGTTACACTGAAGGAAGCTAGGACGGGAGGCCAGGCAGGAACCTGGAGGCAGGAACTGAAGCAGAGACCAAGGAAGAGTACTGCTTCCTGCCCAGTCCCCAGCTTGTTCAGTTATGTCACCACAGTGTGGCGAAAACACAGTACAGTTTTCATTTCTATACTTATTACTGTAATAAAAAAAAATCTTAAATCCATTCCTTACCCATGTGACCAGCAATATTGGCCCCATGCCAAGTCTTGTAAAATGGTAAGAGAAAGTTATTGATAATTATATTTTTCTAATTTATAGAGCTTTGGTCTATATCAGAGCAGGTAATAAGAGCTCCCTGATCCATAAGAAAGCCGACGAAGCCTTCAGATAATGAGGGAGGGTATCTGGAAGGGAAGGGGAGGGGAGGGGAGGGGAGGGGAGAGAAGGAAGAAGGGAAGGGGGAGGGGAGAGGAGGGAAGGGAAGGGAGGGGAGGGGAGGGGAGAGGAGAGGAAGAAAGAAGGAAGAAACTAAAGGGTGGGAAGGAAGAGAGAAACTACTACTGAGACAATTTTACTGGAATGTAAAATATTGCCATGGGTCTTAAAAGATTCATCTCCAAAATCTTACCCTCTTCTCTTACCAACAGATTTCCAACAGTAACCAAGGTAGTTACTCTGTTTGAAATGGAGTTTTTTTGGAAGCAGAAATTCGAGTGAGCTCTGTACCACTGGGATACCATGTGTGGGTGCTGAGTGGGGTGACTTCTTTCCAATGGAAGAGCCTGGTCTACGCCAGCTCCAGTGAAGACATGAGTTATGACTCGACAGTACATTATTACAACCTATGCAGTCATATATGCTTAGTGAAGCTGGGGTTTGTTCCCAGGGAGTTCAACTATACACCATGGACTTTCTGTCACTATTCTAGAGTCTATTAGTTACTTATCCGGTTGTTGTGACCAAACACCCTGACAAAATAAACTGAAGAAATTATTTGCTTTGGCTAACATTTCAAAGGCATCATCCATCACAGCAGGGAAGCCACTGCAGAGCTTGAGGAAGCTAGTCACATCGAATCTGCAGTCAAGAAGCAGAGAGAGATGAATGACTGTGCTCCGCTTATTTTGTCTTTTACATTCTGTCTGAGACCCTCAGGCATGGTGTGAGCTGTGCCCAGTCCTCACAGACAAGCCTGGAGATTTGTTTCCATGGTGATTCCAAATGCCATGAAACTGACGATCAAGACTGACCATGACATTCGGCATCTTAGGTCTTTAAAAATTCACTTATTTAGAGATATGAAACTGTAATGGTGATGTTCCTACAATGATATCTTTTAAAATAAAAGGGGGTGGGGGGACTGGAGAGATGGCTCACCCGTTGAGAGCATACTGACTCTTCTTTCCAAGGACAGGGTTTGTTTCTTATCACCCATATGACACCTCACAACCATCTGTAACTCCAGTTCCAGGGCATCTGACACCATCTTCTGGCCTTCAAGAACACCAGGGACACATGTAATACATATAGATACAGCAGGCAAAACACTCACAAACATAAGATAAAATAATAACAAATTAGTAAAAGGAAAAAAGGTTGGGATGTAGAATGTAGAATGAAGCAGAGTTTGGTTGTTTTTTTTTTCTTTTCTCTCACTATTTTTTTTTTTTTTAGAAAAATGACAGGAACAGGATAAAGCTCAAGACAGAAATATGAGCCAAAACTTAACCTATAGACTTGCCTTTACAAAGCATCATAGCCAAATATTTTCAGAAAACTGAGAAATAGAGGGCCAGCAAAACGCAGAGAGCCTCCGTCAGTCAGTCTGAAAGTAGATCTCTACAGCAGAGAATGGGTGTGTCCTCACCACAAAGTGCATGCATCTGCTGAGGGGCAATCAGTTCTCTATGCTCCCTCTCCCCAGGATCCAGAACGCGCCTTCACTAAACCCTACTTGAGTGAAGGCCTCCGAGACTCCAAGTGGGACATTATTAAAGAAATCTAAAGGTGAGATGTCTGATGCTACTATGTTTGGGTGACACACACCTACATGTAATGCACCCTTCATGATGTCACAACTGCATCCACCTTTCTTGTCAGCTGACTCCTAACATGAACATCCTGGGGACACAGGTGGAGCAAATCCTTCCACCCCAGTGGATGGTGGTGGCCTCCCGTAGCTGGAGAGGGCAAAATTGCCACCCACAGTGAAAACACAAGTGATGTTCCGATGCATGATGCAGTTGAAGACTGGGTTGCATGTGCCATGCAATGTATTGTCCTGCTTAGTTTTTATCTTCAACCTGACCCAACCCAGAGCCACCTGGCAAGAAGGAATCTCAGCTGAACTGCCATTATCAGACTGGCCTGTGTCCATATCTGTGAGAGATTGTCTTCACTGATGATGGACGCGGGAGGGCTCAGCCCAGTGTGGGCAGCACTATCCCTAAGCAGATGGGCCTTGCCTGTGTAAGATAAAGGGAGCTGGAAGCAAGTCAGAGGGCTCGCTAATGAGCAACATTCCTCCGTGGTTTCTGATCTAGATTCCTGCTTCCAGGTTTCTGCTTTCTGTTCCTGCCCTAACTTCCATGGGTAACTGTGATCTGGAAGTATAAGCAAAATCAATCCTTTCCTCCTCAAGTTGCTTTTGGCCAAGGTATTTCAACAGAGCAAAGTAAGTTCAAAACTATGCCGAAGACACACTACAATGCCTGTTCTGTGTCTGTAGCTTTTGCTTCCGGAACACTTTTCTCTTTTCCTTCTCATGCCCTTGCTTCAGCACTCAAGTCCCCGATTGGACCAGACTTTCTGAGCTTTTGCAAGTAATTCATAATCATGAGTTATTCAGTCCCTACTATATACCAGGCAGTACTCTGAAACTGGGGGAAATGCTTGTGGACAGTTTGTCAAATGTAAGACGGAGTCACACTGTGTGTAGCCCAGGTTTTCCTCAGAGTGAGCCTGTCAGCCTACTAAGTACGTAACAAGCATGAGCCACTTCACAAGCTAAAACGTTTTTTAACTTCAGAAAAACGCAGAGATCACGGATCCACAGAAAAACAAACAAACAAACAACAACAATAAAAAAGGTTGAAAAAAAAATCCAGAGTGTCGAAATAGCACTCCCAGGAGCCATGCTTTTTCATCCACCCACACTGGGCAGAGAACCACCCTGTATGTGACTCCAGATAAGAAATTTTAGAATACTTTAATCAGATAGCTTGAGTCAGGATAAGTGGGCACTTGGTAAGAAGGCAGGAAAATAGACGAAAAACCACCCACCATGCGGGACTCACTCTAGCCAGTAACCCAACAAAGCAGTTGTTACTTACTCACCCTAAATCTGTCCTGAAATCCCTTACATTACTCAGATACACGCCAGATTTTAATTCAAATTAGTACGCAAAGTTAGGGAGGCTCTTGGTAAATCACCCTCTCTAGTCTCATTTTCCAGAGCAGTATAACTGGTATAGAATAGGAAAGCAGTTTAGGAAAAATTAGTGACAGATATGAATTCATACAGACTGTCCCAAGACCAAGTAAGGACTCCAAGTCTAGACAGACTTCAGAGCAAGGATCCCAGCCACCAGACAGATCCCTAATAAACCTCCAAAGGTGCATGGGGGACCTGAGTTCTACTGTTGTCCACTTTCCAGCCTCAGAATGCAGATCCGCCCCGCAAAATGCCACATCCCTAGCCCTCCAAGCCCATCAGAATTGAGAGTAGGGCGGTGGGCAGGTCCAGCCCGGAGCCTGCAGCCGCATCCCAGGTTCGGTACCTAGTCCCGGGTGGGCGGCGCGGGTGGAGCCACCCCTCGCGCGTCCCGCGGCTCCTGCTGCAGATGCGCCTTAGCCGGGCCGAGTTGGCCGCGCGGCCGGAGTGGAGCAGAGTTTGCAAAGTCGCCGCGGAGCTCGAGCGGGAGCGAAGGGGGTGGGCAGAGTGGGGGTGCGCGCGAGAAAAACCCGCCTCTTGTGAGTTGAGCGGGGAAGAGGGGGGGAAAGGCTCCGAGTTCCGCTTCCTGAACGGCGGGTGGGTAGAGCAGGCTGGCGCGGCCCGGGGACCGGCGGGACACACTCGCTCCGGGGCCGAGGAGCCAGCATCGCGGCCGGGCATGGCCGGCGAGCGGACCCGCAGGTTCACCCGGAGCCTGCTGAGACCCGGGCAGGCCGCCGAGCTCCGGCACAGCGCCGCGTCCGCCGCCGCGGTGGCCGTCAGCAGCCGTCAGCAGCAGCGGGTGAGTGCGGCGCGTCCCTCGCGCCACGGCGGGGTTTGCCAGGGGACCCCAGGCAGGCCTCGCCTGCAACCCTGTGAGCCCCACCTCGGGAGCTAGCGGGTCCTCCGCCCCCGCACTCTCTCCCCTGCCACCTCCTAGAGCGACCCAGGAGCCACCTCTGTCAGGCAATGTCACCAAAAATTTAAGGACCAGAGGCGCATTTGGGGACTTTAGGGGCATGGGACGCTTAGATGAGCAGCTGCGTGGAAGAGGATGTGCCCACGTTTTAAGGAGGGTGGAGGAGGTGGGAATGCATCCACTCTGGCTCAAGGTGACAGGGGTGACAGGAACCTGAGGTGGGGGTTGGGGGTGGAGATCTACATGGATGGAACCTGTAGATCCACAAGTCTGCGCGCTCTTCTCATCCCTGTGGGAACCTGAAAAGGATACAGAGTGAGCTCCTCTGCCGGACTAAAGCTGCAACCCCCACCTTCTATCTAGGGCTTAATAAATAAATGCAGTTCGCACAGCTCTCCCCCCACAGGCTGAAACCCCACAAGCCACTTTATACTGTTGCAGAAAGATCTGGGGGAGACAGGATGGAGGGGACGTGGGTTATTAAATAGCCGGTGGCTTCTGGTGTTTTCTGAAGCGGTTTCACGGGGTTCTCCCTCCAGAAGGCTCCACTGGTGACTTCCTTGTCGAAATGCCTTCTAAGTGTTGGGTGATTTCCGCGGGAAGTCCCTGAGGCAAGCAACCAACATCAGATGCCCAAATCATAGCCATGCATCTCCAGATATTCATAAATTCCAGTAGGTGTCACACTATGGGATGGAAGTAGCAAGCGGGGAGCGCATATCAACTGTGCTGGAAAAGGGAAGCAGTGGGAAGCAGCCTTCCAGCAAGAGCGGGGCTCTATCATGGAGCTCTTGGCTTGACTTTGTTGGACCGGAATCCTCCTTGTTGTGGGTTTCATTTTCCCTTTTGCCATTAGGAATTAAACAGCCCTTTTTAAGAGTGTCAAAGAGAAAGTGTTGCTTTGGCCAGTCCCCGAAGAGGAGGGAGCCAAAGCTGGTCAGAGCCAGTTCCCACAGCCAGAACCCCTTCTCCAAAGCCAGAGGTCGGGAAGTTGAACAGAGCGGAAGCAAATTGCCTGGCAGAAAGACCAGAGCATCAGATGCCCTAAGGGCGGGGGAGGGGGTGGGGGGAAAGCCTGGGGTGTGAAAAGAACTGGTGGCCAGGCTGCCTTCTCCTTCCCTTCCCTCGACACTGGCTGCAATCTGCAGCTACCAGGAACAATTCAACTGTTAGCCAATCCCTTGACAATGCCAGTCTGTGGTTTTGGTATCAGCATGCATATTTTCAGGGAGGAACAGACAGACAAACTGTCAAAAACGGGCTAAAGTCAGTGGAGCTATTAGGAAATCAGACACACACAAGACAGTAATTTTTACTTTTAAAGCAGTGGTTCTTAAACTTTGGGTCGCGACCCCTTGGGGATTGAATGACTCTTCCACAGGGGTCGCCTAAGACCATCGGAAAACACAAATATTTGCATTGCGATTCCTAACAGTAGCAAAACTGTAGTTATGAAGTGGCAAGGAAAATAATTTTATGGTTGGGGGTCCTGACAGCATGAGGGACTGTCTGAAAGGGTCACAGCATTAGGAAGGTTGAGAACCACTGTTTTAAAGGATTGCTCGGGGTTGTTATTCTCCCATTTGCTTTAGAGTAAATTTGCTTTGCAGTTAATTCATTTTAGGGAATCTTAGTAATAATATGACAACTTTACCAGTGATGGCGTCCAACCAGCTTCAACAGCGTGGCCTCTTTTGTGTTTTGCTTTTAAGTGGATTCTCATAATGTTTCTGTAGCAATGGAATTTCCATAAATAATATGTATCCTAGCTGCCCTTCTACACACACACACACACACACACACACACACATACACACACACACACACACACACACACACACACACACACACACACACCCCTTTCTCCAAGATTACCCTACATTTGAAATCCTAGGGAGATCTTGTCACAGTGAATGAGCACAGTCCTTAAGGGCAGTGAAAAGGGGCGCTTCACTGGCGCAGGTGCCTTCCTGGCTTCAGCACCTTGGCCAACACTCCAGATCCACTTCTTGCCAAGACATTTCAAGGGATCCTCTACATCTAGGCAGGCAGCGCTGGCAGTGATTTTGGCAGGAAGACATGAGCTTCGCTCTCACTGCTCTTGAAGGGAAGCAGGAAAGGTTGGGCTCTTTGAGTCAGCCGCACACTCAGTGAGACCCAGGGTGACACTGCACTCTCAAGGGACCCACAACCTCAGGATTGGCCTAAATGGTACATGCTCATCATAGGCTTGCATTGATCCAGTTTCTTCAACCTCTGTGTGTCTGTTTCTCCATGTTCTCAAAGGCTGTTTGTCTAAGGGGAAAGAAAGGAAAGTGGGGAAATACTATGGTTAGTTCACTTGAGTGCAAGGTGGTAGACATGCATCTGTCTGCTGCAGCAAGCTGCCGTCTATTATATTTGAGGGACTCGGGATTTTCATTTAAAAAAAATCTATCTTATTTCTAAGTTTATAGTGTTTTTTTTTTTTCTTAGAAAGCCCTTCAGAATGTTACAAAGAGTGTTGTAAATCTTGGCTTGTGCTCCAGCTAATAATGATAGATGGAGGGGTCAGATTAATGACATCTGAGAATGAAATGAAGTCTTCAAAATATATTTGGAGTGTAGAGGACAGAGATCAAGGGAAGCTAACTGAAGGACATGACCAAGGCCAGCTTTGACAGTGGCTGCCCCAGGAAGTAGACCGGATACCAAAAGAAAACTGACCTCAGTGTTACCAAACCACTGGATTAGGTTTACATGTGTACATGGAGACTCCTGGATCAAACCTACCACATTTTGCCTCTCTCTAAGAACTATTATGCATAATAGAGAGAAATGTTTGAGCAAAGATGTTACCCTTTTCGTTTCCCTAACTTCTTTTTAGAAAATTAAGGGCTAATAACGTATTTTATGGCCAAATCATAATACTGTCAAGTTTAAACTATTTCCTGAAATTGCTTTGTCTATTGTCTTATAAGTAAGCATTTCTAGTGCAGAGTTTCAGTTCTAGTATAATTGGAAATATGCCTCCCATGTTAGGAGTGTTTTATCACCGTGATTCAACACACATATACATATCAGGTTAGTTTTAAAGTGGTATTTCCACTAGCTTGAAATTATTTCTGGCTAAGAAACTTTTCTTCCAAAATAATGAGGTGTGTCTGTACTTTTGAATGAATTAACTTATATATGTGACTTTTTACTATTAATTAAAAATATAAACTTAAGATGTGCGTACCTTTCCACATGTATGTTTGGTTGTATTGCACACAAACCCCTTTAACAAGGATAAGTAAGTTTTATGCAAGTACCACATCAGATCTGTAATGTGTTTATGGAAGGAACATATTTAGGTGGTCAGAATTATGAAAGGCTTTGAGCAACAGAGAAAAACATCAAATGGCTGTAAGAACATGATCAGGTGGATGCTAAGTCAAGGACCAAATAACCATTTGATCAACTTGTGCCTGAAGGTATATTGCCCACATTGGAATACATTAGTTTGTTTTGTGTGCAATTTAATACATTTATGATAGTTTTTCTTTTGTGACACAGAACATCCTCTGTAACTCACTCTTGGAAAACAGCCTGTTAGAAGTGATTTCAGTTAATCATGATTCCCTATGCCTACCCATTCAAGAAGAGTAAGGGGTAAAGAGAAAAAGTGCTTACCCCATAATCACAAAAATCCCATCTGCTTGCTTTGATGTCTTCTAAGTGTGGTACTTATAATACTACTCTTGACATTTTAGGGAGCCCTGAATAAATAGAAGCTTTGACCTTTCTGATTGAGAAGGAATGAGCATCTAATATGTTTGCATGAGGAATTCCTAGAAGGAAAGATGTCCTCCCTCTGAACTTTGTGACATTTAAATAATGGAGACTAGGAGGGATTATTTTGAAAGTTGAGTGGGGGAGTCTGGAATTTCCCAAAATTAAGCTATAAAGAAGTAGAAAGATGTTCAAAGTGCTATTGAATGAAAACAAAGCATTTATTTTACTGAGAGTGTCCAGCATTAAAAGCAATATGCAATATGCTTGTTAGTTCAGCATCTAAGATACACACAGGCCTCTAAAAAGAAAGATTTGTTGACTCATTTATGATTTTGTGTGTGTGTGTGTGTGTGTGTGTGTGTGTGTGTGTGTGTGTGTGTGTGGCTGCATGAGTTGATGCACATCACATGTGTGTAAGGACCCATGGAAACTCGAAGAGAGTGTCAGATCCCTTGGAACTGTAGTCACTGGTGGTTTCAAGCTGCAGTTAGGGTGCTGGGAACCAAACTTCCTGGTCCTCTGCAAGAGAAGCAAGTGCTCTTAACCACAGAACCATCTCTAGTTCCAATATTTTCCCTGTAACAAAGCTCTTTATGACAAGAAGACTTATATTTTAACAGCAATGACTGCCTTTTTCAATATGAATAAATTCCCTTGAGGTCTCTGCTTGGTGAAGAAGTCAATGCAAACTTCACAAGATCAAGTCTGAGTTATGCCAGCTAATACTCAAAGGTATTGGGAAAGTATTCTAGAAAACTTTTAGAAGGGTCAACAATGAAACTAAGAGTCAACTTATAGGATTTGAAGCTCCTCCCCACCTCAGATTTAATCATTTCATGAGGGCTTGCTTGTCTTAGACCTTTTAATCACTGGGACAAAAATAAAATAGCTTATACAAAGAACTTCAGGGAGGAAGAGATATTTTATTGCCTTATAGTTTCAGAGTGGTCAGTCCCTCATGGATGGTGGGAGGGAGTGGTGGACCAGAGCAGTTTATGTTGTGATATGGTGGCTAGAAGACAAAGACGAAAGACAGCAAGATGAAGCCAGAGGAAAATACAGCTCCCCAAACCACACACCCAGAGACACGCCTCCTCCAAGACTCACTTCTTCTTACTTTCCATTGC